GTATATTTTTTATATATATACACACACATACGTAACAACGGTTTAAATATATACACACTACATAAACACAAATAAATACAAATTACACATACTAATTATATTTATATTACATTACATATACATTTAAATATTCACACATATTGCACTACATATATACACATTTACATAAATATATAATTTTATGTCTCCGTATGGAATACACGTAATTCTTGCCTATGGTGTGATCGGAAAAGTTTTTGAAATCTTTTATGACTCAGTCTACAATCATCTCAGAAATTCGAATATCATTTGGATAATTTTTTTCGTTTACAATAGAAAATACATATATTAATTATGAATAATTTTAGAAATTATATTACACGAAATGAGGAACATATTTTACCTTGAGACGCGTGGTCCAAGTCACCAACGTCACCACGCACCATCACACGCATGTCATCGAATATGCCATGCACTGATGCTGGGATTCGTGCGTGTTGCCGCATACGGTGTACCAACAACAGATTCGGTCGCCACACTCCCTTTTTTCTTCCTTTCTTTTCTTTTTTTTTCTTTTTTCATTTTTTTCTTTTCTTCTTCCTTCCTCTTCCTCATGGCCTTTCCCTCTCCTCTTATTCTTTTTCCTTTTTTCCTTTTTTTTCTTCTTCTCTTTTTTTTTTCTTTATTCTTCTTATTCTTCCTTTTTTCTTTCTTTCTTTCTTCTTCTTCTTCCTTCTTTTTTTTTCCTTTTTCTCTCTCTCTACCCTACATGATTCTTCTCTCTCTTCTTCTTATTTTTTTTCTCTTCCCTTTTTTTTTCTTTTTTTCTTTTTCTTTCTTTTCCTTTCTTCTTTTCCTACATGACAATCTCCTTTTCTCTCTTTCTCTCTTTTTCCTGTGACATCTACCATTCCGCCGCGTCCCACCTTCGCAATTGTCATTCACTCCTCCTCCTCATGCGGCCAAGGCTCCCCCCCCACTCTGCTCTCTCGGTCCCGATGCCATTTGGGCTTCCTTGGTGATTACGGTTCTTCTTTCCTCTCAAAGAGCTGAAACTGAAGCTCTTATATGGGCTTTTGGGAACTATCAAATCTGCAAGACAAATCTGTACCGTATGTTTTCAGATCTCGCCATGTGTAAACACACGTGGCTGAATGGTCTAGCCTGTCCTGACACCTTACCTGGTGAGGTGTTCCGTTTTTTATTTTGTACCCAGCTGGGCACCAACTGGGTATTAATGAGTGTGATCGTACAAGGAATCAAATTCTCGTTATGGAACCTCTATTAACAGTGAATAAAGCTTATTAAATAGTTTTAAGAGTAAGAAAATAGAGGAAGGTCCATATAGCTTACATAGACAATGTTAATAATGTAGCTATGTTAGCAAGTAATCAAGGTAATAGAAAACTCTCTACTTATTCACATAATCCTGATAAGGGAAAACAAGAGTAAAAAAAAATTGACAAGTCTACTTTATGATATGCACACTACAATTTCACAGGCCACACTTAGGAAATATGTTTCATGCTTCATGGGGCATTAGATTGGTACAAGGGCCTCGTGAAGGTTAGAGGAAAATCAAGTTTTAAACAAATTGCCAATTGTGCAGAGGCAACACTAGATACAGAAAAAGGCAAAGATGGTTCATTATCTATGGAGCTAAATGATAAAATTCAAAAAATAATTTAGAATAAGATGAACAAATTGTTGAAAGGGAAGAATATTGTTGGAGTAATGGTGAACTTAGCACACTTCCATGACTTTGCAGGTACAACTATTTAAAACTTTACTTTTAATATGCTTAGTTTATTAGAGCACAGAATTTGGACTGTAGATACATGAGCTTCAAGTTACATGTGTCATGATTTGAAACTCATTAAACAACCAAAACCCATAAAAGCCATAATACCAGTTCATTTATCAGATTGATCAATCAAAACTGCTGACCATACATGCAATATGTAATTCTCAAATAACATTGTTTTGATTGAAGTATTGCATGTTCCAACATTCCACTATAATCTATTAACAATAAATAAACTTTCAGAAACTTCCCTCATTAAATTTATTTTTTGTCCCAAATATTGCATAATGCAAGACCTAGATAATGAAGAAATATTGACAATTAAAAAGGTGATTAGAAGACTTTACATCGTGGATTCAAGTAGTCTAAGCCTATAATGGATATCTTATCATAAAAAATTGCTATTCCAAAATAGTAGTCCAAGTTCTTTTCATGTTTCATGTAATAATAATACTTAAGCAATTTTTAATG